CTCCTTCCAACCTGCCAATGAGAATTCCTCCGGCCCTTCAAAAGTGTCACAAATATTAGATAATGCTGCTCCCCACCTCGTGAAGGCGCATCTGAGATATGATAATGACCACTGTGCCCAGTTACGCCAAACGCTCAGCGTCGCTAAGACTCTTCAAGTCCCTTGACTCATCTTTCCATTCACACTCATGCAAACTCTTTGACAAAATTCTGGAAGTCAACTCGTATCTCTATGCCTATGGTCTCACCTGTAAATCAAGGAAACTAGAAACTCTCTTTCCCCTAAATGATGAGGCTGCCATCAAACGCAATGATGATGTCACCATACGAGACGATTTACCCCACACTGCCCCTGAACACGTTATCTTTACGAAGGGCGTGTCCTTCGTCCCTGCACTTCAAAGCCGACCTTACCGTTCTTTTGTTTTTACATGTGGACAGCGAACAATTCTTCCGATGCCTACTTTTAGATGCCCACTTCACCCAGCATCCGTCAAACTTTAATCGCACCATGTTCGACACCATTAACCCAAAGACTAGTATCTGGACCCCGCTTTCCGCCAAACACCCTGAAACTGACAGTTCAATCAAAGCATGTCGTAGCATCATTGCCAACTCCTCTAGCAAACTAATCTCTAATTACCTGAACGGAACCCCACAAGAAGTTACCGCTCTAAAATCCCTTCGAAACCGCACTAACCTCGTAACCAAGCCAGCCGATAAGGGTAGAAACGGGGTGGTCTGCACTCTGTAACGCCCACCCCTCCCTCAAGTTTACCTCACTGATATCGAAATGCGCTGTCAACTTCCTAGACTTAAGAGTCACTGGTGACACACATCTGTGCACTATAAACCCACCGACAGCCATAGCTACCTTCTTTACTCCTTGATTCATCCTAGATCCTAAATCAACTCTGTTCCCTTCTCACAATTCCTTCGCCTCCATAAGATTTGCAGCGACGAAATCGATTTTCGTCTTTAAGACGATGACCGCCTTCTTTACTGAACGTAGTTAGCCACTCTATCTTCTGCGCAATGCGAGCAGTTGCTTCTCCAACATTTCGTGGCACTGCTACTGCGACTCGCATCTTCCGAGTGCTCTAGTGGGGCATGTCGGGCTGCTTCAACGAGCCAAAGCAGCTTCTATGGCTATGTGGGCTTTTCCTTTTCACTCTTGTCAGCTCAGCTGTACATTACTGCTTGTACCGGCCCTTATACCACTGCTTCGTCGGCCTGTTCTGGAACTCGTGGCATCATCACTGACATTGCCACTAGTCTCGGGTATCTTGGGGTCAATACCAGTGGCAGCCTTGATGCTGGCTATTGCACTGTCATCGTCAGCCTCACACAATTATTTTATTGCTGCTCTTCTAGAAGGTACCTCACGCAGGTTGCTTTCTGCAATGCTTTCACACTGCACGTCTGAAAACAAGTGAGGAGAATGTCACAAAAATGGCCATGGCTGCAAGAAACTGCTACTTATTTAGAGACAGTGATCCTGGGAACTTGTAGATTCCTCTGTAATGTAGCCAGCTCACTTTGCCTACTTCTATGGTGGCCCCCAGCAGCAGATGTTTTCTGGAACACATAAATATCTTAAGTAGCAACTGTGCAGCAACTGTATTCAATGTATAGATGCAATACCTTATTAAACAATTTTTAGGATGTTCTGGAATAAAATTGTGCACGTATCATGTAAACACACGTAGCATATTTCGCTTTGAAACAGTACTAGGGATTATCCAACATCAAAGAAAGCTAGAAATAGAAACACTGAGACTGACTTCAAGCAGCATTTCTTTTTATTTCTTTTTGGAGAATGTAAATGGGAATGTAAAAGCCGGTAAGAAGTCATGGTGGCGATTACCTACACTACGTTTATTACAACAACAGGACATTTACAACACTTGTACCACTTAAAGAAAAGTAACCACTTTTTGTCGTCTTGCATTCTTCCCAGAATCTCTACTTCGCGGCAGCCAAGTAAAGATTCAGCTAACTTCGCGAGCTGTTGCCAGATCAACAAACGCGAAATTTAAAGCGCTGCTAGGCGAAGTCAGCTAGTATAAACCACGACCAAGCCGGTCGTGCAATGAACTCGTTCGGGGTACGCAGTGCTGCGACGACCCACACACACAAAACGACCGTCCGCTCCGCTAATTGTTTCGCGTGCTCCTGTTGGTTATGCCCACCGTGAAAGTTATATCTTACCCAAAAATGTTCCTTGAGGTTTCGGCAATGTGATGGAGTGCGACGTATATCTTGAGGAAACGGAGGGCTTCTAAAATCGCCGTTAGGCCGGTGCAGAACCCGCCGTTCCGCTTCTGCTATCGAAGACATTCGAGGTGCTCGTCTCACATACTTTGAGTACCGACGTCTCGCGGGACAGGTCGCCTTTTTCTGTCGGCAGGCACTCCTTCCGACATCGTAAAAACGCGTAAATGAGGAGCGCATCGCAAGCGGAACCAACGAACCGAGAGCCGACCGAGGCGAGCATGCAGCACGCGACAGGTTCAGCGGTTCAGAGCCATTAGGCCTACTGGATAACTGGAGTCGTGAGTAGGTTAAACAACTAGGAACGTAAAGTGCGTGCGAAATACGCGTTAAAGAAATTATTTTCGTAATTAAAACATGTAAAAATTGTTTCCGCAATATATGCCTTCTTTTTTTAAAACAATCCCGTAATATGTGTCGAGCGCTGCCATCGAGAGTACGCTTTGCGAGCCGTAAATGAGTTTGGGGAACTCTGTTTACTCGAAATGGCATTTAGGTTAAATGCCATTTGAGTTGCCGTGTGGCAGTGCCTAAATGACATTTACACTGAATGTCATTTGGCGTAAATGTCATTTTAGCTGCCGTCTGACAGGGGTATTAGATTAATCATTATATTTGGGTATTACGTCGGGGAACATTAACAGGTCCCTCGGGGCCTTACAATCTGTTCACGTCCAGGGCCTGCATAACTTTAACAAAACATAGACTTGGTAGAAGAGGAAGAAGAGGTCGAAGCTCTCACTGTTCCATTCCATTTAGTCACCCCCTGAAGAAGGAGTCAAGTAGACCTCGAAACTGTGGCAACTGTTAGTTTCTGAGCTTTTGGTTTGAGATTTTTTTTTTATTATTTTTTTAAACCAGACAGATTTCTGTCAAAGATGTTTACTTTCACTCCTTTTGTGATGTTACGCCCTGGCAAGGAGGGCCTTCAGTGGCCTGCGTGCCCCAAATAAAAAAACAAAAATTTAGATATTCAAGATCTTGGAGGTCAAATGAAAATTATATAAGTGGGTTTTCTCAAATACAAAACCGCCTCAGCTTCCCTTTAATGTATTTACCAGGTGTTACCATGTGTGTTGTCTTGCCATACATGCAGCCGATATACGCTTCCATCATTCGGATCTTAGTGCAATATTCGGTGGCACTTTAAGGCTTAAGTGGCCGAATTGACATGCTTTGCAAAAACTTACCTTTTTTTAGAGGTATCTGACTCGTCTAACATCTTTTGGAACTTTCAGTAACCAGTCCCAAAGTCTAGAACCCTATAGCCTTCATGTTTTCTGAATTATAGGGCATAGTTCGACGTTGCAATCATTGCTCTCGCGCAATGATTTTGCTGAGAGTAAAGCAAAGATGTCAACCCTACGTATCAACAAGGATGGTGCAGAAACTATTACCACAGTGTTACCTTAAAAACTTCTGTTGGTGGCACAGTCTTATCAGTGTTTCCTTGGAGGTCGCCGTCTCCAGTCGTTGCTGTGCAGGTTTGAATGTGTTAAATTAATTTGTGACTGAGATGCGAGAAACAATGGCTGCTTCACTAATGATTTGCATGAGTGGGATAGATCTATTGTTTTTGTGGTCTGTGGGTGTGCTTAGTGTCAAGTATTTTGTCACAAAGAAGTGTGTTTGAAATGATTCAAAAGTTCAAGGACAACCTTGCAAGTGTCAGCTATAATGAAGCAGCCAGATACCTGTCCGTGTCCATGACTAATGACGACGTTAAGGCTCGCGCTGCGGAAACCAGGATCCTGGGTTCAACCCCCACTGCTGCCCGTTTCGATCTGGATGAGCATCGTACCGGCGTACGGTCGTGTATCACCACTGCGTGGTGCACGTTAAAGACCCCAGGCTAGCGGTTCTACTGCACTGGCTAAATGTCTTATCTACAGCTGGGAGGTTCGTCGCACATTGAGGCAGACTAAGTTCGAGATTGTATAAACATACACACAACCCAATTTTCGATGACATTAACCATATGCGTGAACTGATTTTGTTGAATAGATGATAGTGGATGATGACAAATAATTTGCAAATCAGTCAAAGCTTCAGCTATTTAATACTGCATGACAGGCTTGGGCCTGGAGAATTGTTTGATTAAGGTAAGTTCTACATTTAGGGTGCTGTAGAGTTTATTTTTAAATCACTATCATAACTTACCTCAGGAATTAACCTATTTACGAGTGATAAATTTAAATTCGAGAACACTTTAGGCTGCCAAGGAAAATGCTAGCATGACTTAAAGGGGGGCCTCCAACAGTATTTGAGCGTCGACTTTTTTTTTCGGTTTCTACACGCTAGTGGTCCCGGAAACCCAGTGGACAACGAAAGAGCTTGAAAATATTAGCGCATCACATTTTAATTTGACAACTCGGAAACACCTCCTCCGACGGTGGCGCCGCGAGGTGCCGAATGCGCGCGCATAACGGCGCTCCCGTTCACTATACGTCACATTCTCTGGGTTTCGTGATTGGCGAGAGCCGTCCCAGGAACTTTGAAGCGAAATAAAGTATATCACACGTTAACCGCCATTATTTCTCTAACAAGTCATTTTTATAGAGGTAATAAAGTTGCAAAGTAAAGTTCAAAAAGGGCGAAAACAACGCCTTGTTAAAGTCCCTCGATGTTTTTTCACTGCGTTTTACAAGTACCGTCATTCTTTGCCGCGCCGACACCTGTTTCTATTGGAGGAGAGCGATGTCACGTGATTTCCGGAATTGTCGCCACTTCCGTCCGCCATTTGCTTCCAAGCTGCTCGGCTGCTCCGTCCGCTCGCGTGTTTCGTGACACTCGCCGACGACTTTAGCTTGACGTCCTGGTGTTTCTCGACCGTAATGAGGCAAGTGAAGTAGTAAGCGTTTGTGTTAGATGACGGGGTGTTGCGCTTTTGGGTGCAGCCAGAGTTCTGGTAGTGGAAAAAAGTTGTTCTGCTTCGGAAAGTCGATCTGAAGAGGCAGAAGGCATGGCTCCACATGATTGGGAGGAAAAACTTTGTCCCTACCAGAAGCAGCAAGCTTTGTGAGGTGAGCATTTCTGAGCTAGTTACCTCTTCCACACACGTTCACATAGGTACACATGCAATGTTTTTCCTGACGCGCCTGACTGCCGAACTCGGTCTCAGCTGAAATACCGCATCGGTGCTCTGCCGTTTTAGCCTGTTGTTTTTCACTCGAAAACCCGGTTGTTCGCCGGCAAATTTTTTCGCGTAACCTGAGTTTTTAAGGGACAGGATGTGAATGGATGAAGCCACCGATTGGCCGCTTCAGCTGTGAGTGTCTCGCAGTGAACCTCTACGAAACACGAAAAGCTGCTACCGAGGACAGTATGAGCCGAAAACGCCTTTCATGCTTCTTTGGCTTACCACCACTTTTTGAGAGAGCTGTGGTCCGAATTAGGAATAGAAAGCGAAGTTGAGGAATAATGGAGCTTGTGGGAGTAGAACACTTGTCTTTTGAGATATATATATATAATCGCACGACAAGAGCTGAAATAAACAAAAATGTCTGCACAATGCATGTGCTTCGTGTTGTGTTGTCCTTCCTTCCCCCAGTCTCGGGGGTTTTGTCTAAAAAAATATCTACGTGGATGTTACAGTGGAAGCTAGGCAGAAAAAAGTAGACAGAGACATTAAACACGTTCATAACGAATTCTTTGAACGCGATCTAATAAAATTGGTCTTGGATTCACCGTTTAATGCGGCAAAATAATAAAAGTTGTACGCAACATTTCTTCACTGCACGCTGAAGGTATGCTATCCAGCAATCAAAAACAGCGAAAGTTGCCGGCTAGAATCCTTCACGGAGTTATTTGAGACCAAACACGGCTCCGCAGTAGAGGTTCGAGGACGAGATTGCCCGTTATCGCAAGAAATAGCACGTGCGAATAACACGTGCGATGGCGTAACTTCACCCGAAATATTGTTTGGGACTGGTGAGTTAAGTGCTGCAAAATTAATCCGCACGGATCTCGCATAGTCCAAACTCGTCAAGGTCACTACTTCGCACGACGTTTGTTTTCCATCTAAACACTGCTACTAGTACTTATAACAAAATGCGTGTTGAAGTCATGTAGATACACCCCAAAAAATGAGTTCCAAACGCGTTTGCGTAGCATTACCAACGCTCGCCACGAGGGAGAATGGTTGCAAACAAAATAGAGTTCTCACAATAGCTTAACCATCCACGACGGAATGAAATTTTCACAAGGCATTTGTCTTTATTACAAATATAAATAGTTTATTGTAACGCAGGCGCGCACATATCTAGCAGCGCCGAGAGCATTGCTCGCGAAAGCTCTCGCTGCGGTATGATAGGGATTGCGGCAAAATATTGATATATATATATATATATATATGTGCTTTTGCGGAAATAACAGCTTACCTTCGATTCACGTAAGTAACCCGATGATATCCAAATTAATTTCACGCGCTGAAAATTACCAAAACAAGGAAGACTACGCTACTGCTAACCACATAACAACACAGCGGAACCGCCCTCCCGTCTGACGTTAGGAAGCGAATGGCGGCGCTAGAGAGGGAGAGGAGAAAATTTTTGGGGGAAAGAGGAATCGTAGATGGAAAGGAGGAAAGTTGTCGCTACCTGTAAAAACGAAAAAATATCCAGGGACGTTACGCCTTGTCGCTCATGCGCGCCTCCCAGCGGCGTCTGCGACGTACCATCGCGAGCAGACGACAAGTGATCGGTGCAGACAACGCGCACCGTATTTTCACTTGTGCGCCCCCGGTCCCGGTCAACTAAAAGCAGTAAGAGGAGAGAGGGGAACCCTTATTTTCTTCTAGAGCTGTGACAGACTTTTCACTGTTCGAGTGAAGTGCGGCGACGGGACCCAGCTTATATCGTGCCCAACGGGAACGCTCATTAGTTTGTGCCTCCTACTCGCCGAGGTGGCTCCGGTGGCGGAGTTGCGGGAGACGAGTCTTCCGCGGCTGTCGAAGCGGACTGAGGCAAAGACGCGGCGCTAGCGTGGAGTGTCCTCGTACGGCGCAACGCCCAGATCCGCACTCAAAATCCGATAAGCCCGGTAAATTCATCGATGATGGCAACCCGATCCCAAAGCTACGATGGTTGCAACTAGGCCTAATGGCCGACGAGCCGACCGGGCCGACGGGCTGTCAACCAAACTCGCGTCCAATTGGCCAACCGCTTTGCTCCAATCGCTAAGCTGTTTCATTTTACGTCATGAAGCGCAATGTTTTGCTTATTAAAAGTTGTTTTCTGCGATATTTAATTTGCTAATAACTCGCAAAATATTGCGAATTTCTGTAATATTTTTTTCCTTGGTATTCCTGCTTTCATGGAGCTCCGTTTCAGCGCGAACTTCAAACCGGTAAAAACTTGTGGTGGGCCCCTTTAAGAACTGCTTAAAATCTCACTGCCCACAAAGCAGCAACTTCTTGCTCTAGTCAACTGAGAGAAACGTTCAGAAAACCGGGAAATTGGCACCACTGCACATGGGCTGATATACCTTAATGTATATGTATGATTAGCTTTCCCCATTTGTTTGGTGCACTTCTTGAGTGAGTTGACATTAACGATAACCTACCAAGTTGTAATTTTGTGGTGCATACTATCCTTTATCATCTACAGCTTACAAACAAATTTTTGATATTCCCAATGAAAATAAAAAGATGCGAGCGAGGGACTATTGCTGTTAAAATTTCTGTCATTTGTACGAGTTCAATTTTAAACCACTACTTTCAGCTCCTGGCCTTGCCTGTGGAGTATTTGGCCCAAGAGGTAAGATATTTTCTAGTTTAAACAGTATGAATTACTATGCGAAGCTTTCAATTGTGATTATTTTGTTACGGTATATTTACAATCCCAATGGCCTGTAGATGGCGGGGTGGTAGTTCTAAGACAACGGGAGAGATGGGGTTAGATATTGCAGGATTTTCCATGTACCTGCTCGCTGATGCAGGTCAGCATGCTTAAAGTAATTTATTCGGCTACAAACGCAAAGCGGTCAGAGCAGGAGCATATCGCAGGTGACGGAGCTGTTGATATATATTAGGAAAACAAGCAGGTTAATTTTTAAAAGTTGCAGAGACCTCACAGAACTTTTGAAGCTTTGTGGAGGACGAGCGCATTTAAAAAGACTGACCCTGTCGTTGTGTGTGGCAAGAAAATGTGAGGGTGATCAAGATATCGTTGTGTTTGCATCGTGCCTGGCCACCAGTATTCTAAAGGTGAGCTCTGCATAGTGACTGTTAAGCTGTGGACAAGCCGCGTTCACAGTTAGTACTTATGTCTTTGTGTCAGAGGCTCACAACTCACTGCATATTAGTTTTAATGCATGGGAATACTTGATCAACCTCCACCATAGTTACTAATGGTCTGTGTTGGCATTGTCCTGTCTTTTGCAACATTGCAGTTTGTGAGGTTTCTGCTAGCTGATTATGGCTTAATAGGAGTTTAGGATTGCATTCAAAATTACAAGTAACTAAACTCTGAAAACATTATGGCACAAAAGCATAAATTTTCTACCCACATCTTATCAGAAGTTATAAGAAAATATTGTTGCCAATCAGATGTATTTATGTTTTGTTTCATTAGTGAACATTAGAGCATTCAATAATTAAACTAAAGCGATTGGTCACTGCTACGACATTCCAACCAACACGAGGCTGGCAAAATTTTCCTAGAGGTTATGTGAGAAAGCACCAAATAAAGAGGAGTCGCATGCACTCAGGCCTTCAACGCCACTTGTGTAGAGGAAATGTCAATGAAATCACAAACTTGGACGATACCAGATTGTGGTAGTCCTTGTTCTTTTGGGAGTAAACTGCAAAAAAGGCCACTGTTGTGCATTAACAAATGTTCTGTCAGAGCAAACTATAAGAATGAGCAGCTGTGTCATGTTCATATTAATTTTATTGCTCAGTGTACATTCCTTATTGTGTATATTTTAGCAGGTAACAATGTATATTTTTCTGCAATTCGGCTTCATCGCCAGTTGCCACTGACGCCGCAAGGTCAAGCTTCGTTTTTGACCACAAACTGCCTGCAACGACTTCTATGATCACAGGTTGTTTAGCTGATTCTGAAGTTCCAAATTGATTGCTAATACTGGACTCATACAAGCAAGCAAATAATGCAAAGTTCTTTTGATAAAGGAGTAGGCTAGGTGTTATTGTGATAGATATATACAAAGTGTTTTTATTAGGACCAGGATTTTAAAAAAAAGAAAGAACTTGCAGGTTTTCTTTAGTCCTGGGGGCAAGTTTAGAAACGAGGCTCAATTGATTCATTAGTTACCTAACTAGCTAAGATTTAATTTTCCATCTAAATCTTAACCAACTTTTTGGGACAAAATGTAATTGGAGAATCTATGCTCGACCTCATTATGTAGCTGTGACATGAAATTTTGATTAAATAATTAGTGGGTGCTACGCGGCAAGAAATGTCATCTTAGTACATGGATTCAAACAAAAACTGAGCCAGCAGAACATGCCCATGACGTCGATCCTTGTGCTTTGTGCCATCATCACACTGCCTTTCGTCACCTGCGGCATGAACTTTTGGGTTGTGGAGCCAGTACAGAGCGAAGAAATCACCATCACCATTGCTCTTTGCCTGCTCAGTTTCAGTTACGAGGTGTGTACAAGGATTGACATTTCACATGATGGTTGGTTAAGACCAGAGTTACGCAAACTTTGTAGACCCGCGACCTCTAAAATAACGCCGTCCGATTACCTACCCTACCCCCCCCCCCCCCGTCCCCTTCCCCGCTTTAGAGCAGTATCAAAGCAATCAACGGCTCAGCTTTCTGAGGCCTCCCCCCCAGACGTCACCTCTCAACCCCGGCTTTTTGTACCCCTGGGTTAAACTAGAATGAAGTTGAGTGTCAATGTCCAACTTCGTCATGACGGAAGATATTATTTAAACTTCAAAAAGTTTGCAGAAACCTTTTAGTCAGCTAGCTAATTATTCCGTTTCATCTCTTTTCTAGTTGTCCACATAGCTCAAGCCAAGCCCTGTAAACGTTGCAGCCCACCAGCAGGAAATTTCAAAAAATCTAGTTTATCAAAGTTATAAAAAAATATCTTTGCTAATCAGAAGTATTCATGTTTTGTTTCATCAGTGAACATAAAGCATTCAATAATTAAACTAAAGCAATCAGTCACTGCTACGTGATTCCCACCAACACGAGGCTGGCAAGAATTTTGAAGAAGTGCTGTAAGATAGTATGGAATAAAGAGAAGTCAAATGCACTCAGGCCTTAACACAACTTGTGTGGTGGGAATGTTATTGGAAGCACCAATTTGGACGATAACAGATTGGGTTTGTCCTTGTTATTTGAGGAGCAAACTGCAAAAAGTGCCACTGTCATGCGTCAGCAAATGTTCTGTTAGGGCAGGGGTTCTCAAACTGGGTTCTGGGGAACACTGGTTTCACGAGCTGGTCTCATGGGTTCAGCGAACACCCAAATCGCCATCCCCCCCTCCCCCCAATCCCCCCTCCCCCGCTGCAGGCTGCACGGCAGGACCATGCAAAGTGCCTTCATCTCACTTTGTACTGACATCGCGATTGATATGGTGGGGATATATGGGAAGCAACTCAAGCAAAATTGCCTACAATTCTGCATCTGTTGCTTCTCGGTCGGCAAATATAGAGGAGGGGGGGGGAGCAGTGTTCCGTGGCAGTTTTTGAAGCTTCCTGGGGTTTCGTAAAACCAAAAAGTTAGAGAACCCCTGTGTGAGGGAAACGTTTAAAAAGAGGCCCAATTTGTTTAATTTGCACACCAGTTGCAAACTGTAAACTAACGCGCAAAGCACCCACTTCGTTCAAGCACCCATTATTAACACTTTCCAAACTTGGAAATTCTGCAATCTGTACGTTCAGCGCCCGATTTGACCATTGACAAGCGCCATTGTCTAGATTAACCCAGTTTTCAGTGAAAGTGAGGTGGGCACTCCACTGGTATTTTATGGTAGCTGTGTTTGGAGATTTGTGTTTGTCCTCCTTGTTCTTCTTCTCCGGGGATTATTAGTGTTATTCTTGTCCACCTGGCTTGCTCCTTTACATTAATTGCATTATCACCTTTGTCATGTTCATATTAACTGTATTGCTCATTGTACATTCCTTATCCTGTATAATATACCAGGTAACAATATATATTTGTCTGCATTTCAGCTTTATCGCCACCTACCAATGATGCAGGAAGGCCAGCAAGCTGCGCTTCAGACTGCCAACCCCCCCCCCCCCCCCCAGCAACAGTTCCTGCACTCACAGGTTGTTTAGCCAATTCTGAACTTCCAAATTAGTTCCTAATTCTGCAATCATACAAGCAGGCCAATAATGCTCATTTATTATGTTAAAGAAGTCCAGGTGTTTTGGTGTCATGACATTTACAGAATCGGTTCTATAGCAGAACCAGAATTGTTTTTAAACAAGAAATCCGATGTATTATTCATTTTCACCCAAGAGCAATAGTAAGAAAAGTTGGGCTTCTTATATTATGTAGTGGTGTCATGAAGTTTCTGTTGCCCTTTCCCTCCTGCCAAGTAAAGTCCTCTGCAACCCATGGATGTGCTTATTAATGTCGTGGATGGCCTTTTCCACAAGAAAATTGTTGCACTTCGACGAAATTTTTCAGCATGCATATACTTTGTATCTGAGCCGTAGATGCCCAGTTCAAGTATGGCTTTGGTTGTATGTAACCTGAACTATCCAGTTCCTGTCTTATTTACCCCGACGCTCGGGAAGTACAATGCAGTGTCATTCCTTCTTTGTACATTTTTAAATATTTCTCTTTTTTGTATCAGGCTTTGAGTCACAGGTACTAAGCTGCTCTTGGAACAGCGCCAGCAGCTCCGTGAGCTGTCGCAACAGAACACAGCCCTCAAGGAAAGCCAGGAGGAGCTGTGCCTGCGGCTGGCCCAGCTGTAGGGCCAACTTCCGAGGAGGACCGAGCCAGGTGGAGAGGCAATTCAGCTGCCTCTGTTCTCCCTGGAGGATTTCCAGGCCGCGGAGGAGGTCCTCCAAGATGGTGCCTCAAGAAAAACTTTGGTATGGATGGTGCATGGGATGTGTTGTATCGTGCAGTAAGACATGAAATTTTGACTTGCTCCGTGATGCTTGTTGTGTGCACCAGCGTGAACATTCCTATTCAATGTATTCTTTTAGTGGAGGCATTGTATGCTTTATAGTGTATGCCTGTGCATTCCTAAACCACACAAAACATGAAACATGTTGATTGTGGTATAAAACTCCTCTACTTCCACCCTTTCCCATATTAAGGGAGTCTCTCAAATCATGGCAAATGATCTGGCAAAAGGGGACTAACAACCATGTTTGCCCTATTTCCACAAAGTATTTCTAAGAGCAAATAGTTTCTGCGCACTGCATAATGAACTACATTCTAGAGTTTCCAGGCTATCCAGCATAATGCTGGCAGTTGGAATAAGATGAAATTAGCTTGGAAGATTGTATGTTAGCAGTTTCAAGAGTATAACACATTATAAAATGTCAAAGTGAGAAGGTGGAGGCCGCTGGAGTTCATGGGTGCATGGAGATGCACCCATGAACTCCAGTGGCGAGGCCGTTGTCTGCGCTCGCGCGACGAGGCACGCACAACTGCACGCCTGTCGTAGTTGTCCTCACGTGCATGCGAACATCATTGCATGACAGAGGCACCAGCCGAGACACTTGCAATCCATTGTTTTACGTTTGCTTACTTTTGACGAAAATCTGTCTCGTCGGGAACCAGTAAAACGCAGGCAAACGGTTTTTCGGAATTGCTCGGCATTGCCTACAGCACTGTACACTTGAGGGATGTCTCAGCAGTAAGAACACAAGCAGCGAGTTCCGTCTCAAAACGTCACATCACAACACAACATAACACAAAATGGCCTTCGTTTCTACAGCACCTAAAACAAATATTTTTATTTTTCTAAGAATATCTTCTCCAAAAGCCACTTTTGCTGCTCAGAAACACTATCTTCGCTGTTCCAGAAGCCACTTTTGGTGCTCCAAAACTGTTACGACGTGGCAGAGCCCGTCGCGAGTAAGACAGGCGTCCGGTGGTGGCTGAACGACTCCGAGGTTTATCGGTGCTCTGAAGACAAAAACGAGGATCGAACGCCACGTGCCAAAGCAAAAAACCACACGATCAAAAGAAAAAGAAAATATACACACGTGCTTTGGCACGTGATGAACATGATTACAAAATACACAAGGAAAACTTTCGTAGAAAACAATAACATGGGGCTGCGTTTTCTACAATTCTCTCTTCTTTAGAAGTGAAACCTGTCGACGGGCTTTCGGGTCCTGCTGGAACGCCGTAACGTCGCTTCTTCCTGGAGTTCCACTGGGATTGCCGTCGGCGCGTCTGGATGGTGGCTTTCATCGTTTGTGATCGCCGAAGATGATGATGTTGTCGGAGGCCGCGTACCGGCCTGCTGGTCTAGCAGGTGATCCCCTTCCGGTATCCTCTTCCGTACTTGGTCAGCGTGGCGATGTACCACCTTTGATGGCGTTGAGACAGTCAGCATTCGCGACCCGGAGGTGGACTTGACTTCACCAGGCGTCCAGTTGTCTCCATCCCCGTAGTTACGAAAATACACAGGATCCCCTGGAGCAAAATTTCATCCAGGGTCATCATTCGTAGCGTCCCGTGCAACCGATGGAAAGCAGGTGTCGATCCTCGATCGAATTTGATAGCCCAGCAGGACTTCCGACGGGGATCTTCCGGAGGCTTGTGGCGTTCTTCTGTAATTGAACAGCATCCGAACAAGGTTAGTTTCCAAGTTCTCGCCTCGCATCTTCTTAATCCCGTCTTTGACGGTGCGCGCGGCCCTTTCTGCCAGACCGTTAGATTGCGGGTGGAAGGGAGCGGTTCGAAGATGCGAAATGTTGTTCATCGTGACAAACGTCTTAAGCTCCTGACTTGTGAACTGAGTTCCGTTATCTGACACCAACGTGCGCGGAATTCCAAAGCGACTGAACAACATACGTAACGTTGCTATCGTTGATTCAGTGGTCGCGTGGGACAATGGTACGGCTTCGATCCATTTGCTGTGTGAATCGACAACAATTAGTACCATTTTTCCCTTTATTGGCCCAGCGTAATCAATGTGTATTCTTGACCAATTTTCCTTGGTCTCGGGCCAATTAACTGGCTCTTTCGCACTTGGCATAGGCATAGCTTGAACACATTCCCTGCAAACTGCCGCCTGGCTTTCAATTGCCCTGTCAAGACCAGGCCACCAGAACTTTGACCGCGCGACCGCTTTCATTGAGGATGCTCCTTGGTGGGTTTCATGAAGCAGACTTAACAATCATTCCCTCGCCTTTGCTGGAATCACGACCCGGTGACCCCAGTACACGAGGTCCTGTGCTACTGAGAGCTCGAGCTTCTTGTCATAGAATGGTTGTAATTCGACTTCTAGGTGCTTTCGGCTCCTTGGCCATCCATCTAGGATGTGTCTTTTAACTTTTAGAAGCACGTCGTCACCGGCAGTCAGGTTTTTCAGTTCTCTGGTGGTTACGGTCCCTTCGTCAAAATTATGTAGTGCTAAAACATACTCCGGAAGCTCCATTGAGCTGCATGATTCCTTAGAAGTCGGTAGCGGTAACCGGCTTAAAGCATCTGCGTTGAACATCAGTTTACCAGGCTGGTAGTCCAGCTTGTACTCGTAGCCCCCAAGCAGCAGTGCCCAACGCTGGATCCTTGCAGCAGCCATGGCAGGGGTCGGCCGGCCCGGCTTTAGCTATCCCAGGAGTGGTTGGTGGTCAGTGACCAAGGTAAACTCTCTGCCCAAAAGGTAATCGCGGAACTTGGTCACACCAAAAATGAGAGCGAGTGCCTCGCGTTCCAACTGGGAGTAATTTTTTTCCGCAGCAGTTAAGGTACGTGAGCGGAAACCGATCGGCCTGTCCTCCTTTCCTACACGGTGAAACAACACGGCCCCAACACCGTATGGTGACGCGTCACACTTCAAGCGCAGTTCTTTCGCTGGGTCGAAATGGGTCAACACGTTTCCTGTTGTTAAAGCTTTCCTTGCTTTCATAAATGCCTCGTCTTGTGCCGGGCCCCACACCCAACGACAACCCTTCTCTAAAAGTTGATACAGCGGTGATAGCAGTGTAGACATTTGTGGTAGAAATCTGCTGTAGAAGGTCAACATGCCGATAAATGTGCGCAGTTCACTCACGTTTTTCGGACACGGAGCCCCAGCGATGGCCTCAAGGTTCTTTTCTGTTGGGTGCAGTCCCTCTCCGTCAATCTGATGACCAAGGTAAGTGACCGATTCCTGCCTGAATCTGCACTTTTCCTTGCGCAACTTCGCCCCGTGCTCTCGGAATCGCTGCAAAAGACATTTCAGTTTTGTTCCATCGTTAGAGCTTTGTTCCGAAAGTGTGACGTCATCTAAGTAGGCCTGCACATCTGGAAGACCTTGGAGGACACCTTCTATCTTGCGTTGAAAGATAGCGGGCGCTGAGGCTATTCCAAATGGTAATCGGTTATAGCAAAAGAGGCCACGATGCGTGTTGATAACCGCAAGCTTCCGCGATTCCTCATCGAGAGGCACTTGGTTATACGCGTCCCGCAAGTCCAGTGTGCTGAAACGGTCACCGCCATTCAGACAAGCAAACATGTTCTCGATAACAGGGAGCGGGTACTGTTGTAACGCACAAACAGGATTCAGTGTCACCTTAAAATCCCCACAAATACGTACGGACCCATCTTTTTTTAGAACCGGCACAATGGGCGTAGCCCATTCAGAGTAGGCAACTGGTGAAATAATGCCAGCCTGTTCGAGCCTATCCAACTCCAGGGATACTTTCTCTCGTAAGGCAAACGGAATAGACCTTGCCTTGCAAAACTTTGGAGTTGCTCCATCCTTGAGGTACAGATGCGCAGGTGGTCCCTGAATGACTCCAAGCTCTGGAGAGAAGAGGTATTCGTACTCGTCCAGTAGACTCTGGAGACCTTGCTGCTGATCACAGGGAGATTTCGGGATTACTTTCAGGCTCAAAACAGGTACGTCACGTTGATTCAATTTCTGAATCAAGTCTCGTCCGCACAAACATGGACCTCGGCAATCCACGACGGTCAATATACCCTGTACGGTAGTCGACTGGTATACAACTTTCATGGTTAACTCTCCGATAACTGGAATTGATCCCATGTAGCAACCCAACTTCACTTGAGGCTTTTGAAGTCTTGGCCAAGTTTTCCGATGCCTTTCGTACATTTCTCTCGTTATGACGCAGACAGGTGACCCCGTGTCAATTTCCATGACCAGATCAATTCCACCCCACGTGAACGTGCGTCGCACTGGCGGCACAAGCTTCCTTTCTTTTAGGGTTATCAGATTCCAAATCTGTGTGGTCAGGCTGTCGTCATCTTCGTCCAGGGACTCTACTGCTTGTAGTTGGTTGTTTTGTCCCTTGGCACTCTTAGGGTTACAACACTTGCGAGCCAAAAGCCCTTGCTTGCCACACTGGAAACATTTTGCTTTCTGCCATTTACAGTTGCTACTGCTGTGATTGGCATTACCGCAACGTTCGCAGCCTACTGGTGAATGCAGCGATGTCCTGGCAGCGGGAGGCATCCTCTGCTGACCCTTCAGTGTGTGTACTTCGGATGGCCCACTTTCCCGCGACATTTTTTGTGCGTCGGCTTCTGCAGTTTCTGCTGCCACGGCTAGTGCTTCGGCGTCCTGCAAGCTCAGCTCTCGTTTGGCCAGCAACTGTTTCTGCAGATTCTTTGATCTGACGCCGCAAACGATTTGGTCTCGTAACATCCTGTCTAATGTCGTCCCGAAGTTGCAGTTATTAGCAATTCTTATTTCCACGATGAATGCGTGCACTGATTCTCCTTCCTCTTGGCATCGATGGAAGAACTTGAAACTCTCCGAAATCTCATTTGGTTTCGGGTCGTAGTAATCGCTCAGAGCACGGACCG